AATCTTTCAAGTTCCAAATTCAAAGCTCTGAGGCCTGAACCGTGAAGTCGACCCCCTCTAGAAAACCTTACAGTAGAATTAAAGTAGCAATGGTACTTTTACTAATACACATGATGATAATGATATTTCTAACACTAGGAGAAGTCAACACCTACAGTCTTTCCATGAGCTTGGAGGTTAGGGTTTTGGACGCTGGGCCCCAGGCCCCGTTGCCCTTGTGCTTCCTGCCAGCCTCACTTGCTTTCAGGGGCACGGCGTGAGGACTTGCGGGTCATGGAGCACTTTGAGGGACCACGAAATCAGGTACTACATTTTTTGCCTACCTAAAACGTCCATTGTAACCCTGTTATGATAACTGATAACCCTCTGGAAGCAGGTTACCTAACCCATTGGTCACTGCACGGTCCCATGAAGTAGGGTCCAAGCTCTTGCAGATGACGATCCGCGACACATCAGGATATCCCGGCCGCCCACGAACAGTGGTCACATGAGGGTGCCTACATATACCTGTCATCCCTTAACCCTAAATCCTCGACCACAAACCCTGAATCCTAAACCCTAATCCCTAAACCCTAGACCCTAATCCCTCAACCCTAAATCCTAAAACCTAGACCCTAAACCGTAAATCCTAAACCCTAAACCCCATACCTTGTAATGTAGTAGGAAAGCGGAAGGCCCGAAAGCTACAGTTCCGTAGGCCTCCCCCTATCTGCCGGAGCCCTGAGTCTAAGAAGGATGCATACACTGGGAACCGAATCTTAGGGTTTAGAGTGTAGGGGTTAGGGTTTAGGGTATAGGGTTTAGAGTTTAGGTTGGGATGTTTGGGGCTTAGAGTTTAGGGTTGAGGGTCTACCAATGATGCCCACTTGGAAGCCAAAGGATCTGTACAACCAGCTTCAGTTGGGACTGGGAGTGTCGGTGTAAGAATATCAGCATGCCTGCATCTCTGCGTCACAGGGTTCGTCATTTCATTGCAAAGCGGTATACAGTGGCAAGTCAGTTTTTAGAAGCACATTGACATAGGCATCAATTGTTGCAGAGTTGGAACCGCCTCAGGTCCTTGAGTATGTCCAAGGGGGTTAGGGTTTAGGATCCCTAAACCCTAAACCCTGACCCGTCTTGCTGCACTGGCGTACCTCGCACACTCATTCCTCCCATGGAAGGAACAAACTCTGACCCCTACAGCCTAGAAACCTTAAACTCATCATAGACTCCATTTCAAGCCTAAACTCCCTAAACCCGCAACCCTGGAGCTTCGCTTTGCATGGGGTCCCTGACCTAGCAACCCCCACTAGTAAATCTCCTCCCCCTAGTGTTCAAACCTCCCCCCCACCCCCTGATCTAAAATGTTCCCGATATAATGGATACCACAATCAAAATTTTGAATATTAGGGGGATGGGTGTTTTAAGCCCCAATTCTAAATCAAGGCTCTCTCTTCATTACGCAAGGCTACTTAAGAACAACTTGGGGGGGTTAAGTACAGTGGGAGTGCTTAGGCGAATGCTTTGGGATTAGGGTTTAGGATTTCACTTTAAACCACAAACCCCCTAAACATCAGAAACCCAAAACCCTGAGCCTTGCATATGGCCCCTCCGACCTTGTCCATGAAGATGCCGGAGTACTTCCCAAAGTGGCGCCACTTAAAAAGGACGTTCGGGGGCCCAGAATAGACCTTGCAGGATTTTTTTCTAGGGGTCTAGGGTTTGGGGTTAGGGTTCAGCATCTCAAGTCCGAGCCAACAACAAGGGCTCCTCCTATTGCATGTGTTTTGCAATCACCAAACCATCGCAGAATCCCCTTACATTCAGCATGTACACCAACTTGTCCTTGTGTGTCCCGTATACTGCACATTGCGCTGCACATTGATAAGATCCGTTATTGAACGCCCCGTTTCCTGGACCTCGAAGATTGAAATCAACAAAGTGCACGGTCTGCGTTAGCTTCAGTTTGACAATAAGCTCAGCTTCCGGTTCGAGTTGAGGACGAGTTAAACCTCTGTACAAATTGTTTCTATGTCCAGGGGGCCCCAAAACAAGGATCCCAATAAGGTTTCAGTGCATATGGGTATAGAGGGTTTAGGGCTTTGGGTTTCCAAAGCGGCCTCTCTATCGGAGCTATAGGGAAAGGATCCTACAGAAATGGTATGTACATGGAGAGGTAGTTTGTTGTATTCTGAAACAATCAGACTGGGCTTAGGGTTTCTGGGTATACGGCTCAGGCTCCAGGATTTAGGGTTTCTTTCTGGGTGAGAGTTGGAGGTGTGAAGTGGCAAGACTGGACTGTAGTATTCACAGACACCAAATCTTCTGCTGTTTACCTCTCAAGGACATGTTGATGACCCTAACCCTGAACCCCAAAGCGCGCTTATAGTTAAGGGCTTTTGCCATCCTTGAACTTTGCCTCCAATGCGAGCACATGGATGCTGTTACTGAAAACCCCCTTGCCACCTTCATGCTTGTGAAACTCGGGAAAACAGTTCAGTGCTTTGAAGGAGTTCTTACGCACGCCTCATAGAACACGTTGGTGTAGCTGTCCAACGACGGCCGAAGTGTAACAGGAGACAAAACTTAGGCAGCTAGAAATCAAACTAAGTTCGGGAACGCCAAAAAGGATCTGGATAATGTCCTCTAACTCTTTATAGTCCAGAAAGAATCTCCATCTTGTTTTGGCCGCTGTATTCGACCCTCTCATCTTGCCACCTCTCAAAAAAACGCTTGAGACTTGCCTTGCCTGGCAACACTTCAGTGCCAAACCCTGATACCCATGAAGTAAACCTTGCAATCCAAAATCCTTGAGACCTTTCCTTGCTTTCAGGGGAAGCTGGCCCCTAAACCCTAAACCCTAAACCCTAAAGATAATCTTCATAACCGTACCTCCACCGCCCATCGGTCTCCCTTAAACACCCTAGACCCTTTAAGTCCTAGATCCCACCCTAAACCCTAAACCCTTAACCTAAAGCCTAAACCGGGTCCCCGAGCCCTCCGAAGATCCCAGCTTCTAGCCGACTCTAACCTTGTCATTTGTATATGAGATGCTTCAAATGGAAATATACCTTAGGAGGACCCCCCCACCCTGTAATAGTGACTATAAGGGATAATAGAGATTATATTAGGGTCCTCTCATATTCCTATTCTACCAATGTACCTATGTAATCCTAAGTGTGGACCCCTAGCATCATCCCTTGAGACCTATGGAGCTTCCTATTTTGAGAACCCTAAGCCCTAAACGCAAAACTTAAACCCCGAACCCCGAACCCTTACCCCTGAACCCTAAACTTTGAACCTTAAACCCTGAACCCTCAACCCCATCCGCCGTTCCCAAGCCTCCAAGATCTCCCAGGCAAAGCCCTCTGGGAAGGCGTCACCAAAGATCTGCGAAGTTATCGGGAAGCCCAATACACATGGGTTTATGCAGGATACATGAGCTATAGTCTAAAC